TTCTGGCCTTTAGTGGGAAGAGGCCAGAGATGCTGCGCAATCTCCAACGATGCACATGCAACCCTCGCAGCAAAGAATGACCCAGACCAATGTGTCAACGGTGCTGAGGATGAAACACCCCCATTTAAACCTTTACCTCATACTATATACAAAAACCAACTAAAAATGTATTATAGACTTAAATGTAGGAGCTAAAACTAGAAAGCTCTAAGAAAAGAACACTGGAGAAAATCTTCGTGACTTTGGGTCAGGCAAAGATCACTTAGATATGAAATGAAAGGTATGAACTAGAGATGAAAAAAACTGATAAAGTGGATTTCATTAAAATTATAGACATTGCACTTCAAAAGGAATCACTATGAAAATGAATTTAAACCATAGATTGAGAGCAAGTACTTGCACATCATATATCAGATAAAGGACTTGTATTCAGAATACATAAAAAATGCTTATGACAATAATAAGATAAAGAACCCGATTAACAAATAGGCAAAAGATCTGAACAGACATTTCACCAAAGAAGATATATAAATGACTAACAAGCTCGTGAGGAGAAGCTTAAACATCAGTAATCACTAGGAAAATGCAAGCAAAAATCACAACGAGATAATAGTCTCATTCCTACTAGAATAGCTATAATAATAAAAAAGGGAACACCAAGAGTTGGCAAGGATGTGAGGAAATCAGAACCCACATGTGTTGGAAAGGTAAAATGACACCTTTGGAAAACAGTCTGGCAATTTCTAAAACGTTAAACATAAATTTATCATAGATTTTCCTCCTGAGGATCTACTCGAGAGCAATGGAAACTTTTCTCTACACGATGACGTGCACACAAGGATTCACAACAGCACTATTCGTAACAGGTGAAGAGTAGAAATAACCCAAATGCCAATCAACTGGTCAATGGATAAAGGAATATAATGTATCTGTACAGTGGAATATCATTCATCAATAAATGAATGAAATAATGATTAATTCTACAACACAGATAAACCTCAAAAACATTATGCTAAGTGACAGAAACCAGATGCAAAAGACTAAGTATTGTAAAACTCCATTTACATCAAATGTCCAAAGAAGGCAGACCTATAGAGACAGAGAGTAGATGAGTGGCTGCCTAAGACTGAGGATGGGAGTAAGGGTTGACTACAAATGGGCACAAGGGATCTTTAAAAACTGAACTGTGGTGATGCTTACAAAACTCTGCAAATTTATGGAGAAATCACTGAATTGCATACTTACACTAGATGGATTTCATGATATGTAAATTTTACTTCAATAAGTTGCTTTTAAAAATTCAATTAAACCAATTTTAAATCTTCAAAAAAGGATAAAAAGAAAGTACAAAGCCGCATAAATAGGCAGCAATTAGGAAGTTCACAATTAACTTGATCATATTCCATGTACACAAGTTAAGTAACTGCAACTCACGATATAAGGCAGGAGGCAGGCAGGGGACTTCACTGAAATGTGGGAAGTGAGGAGTGATGCAAATAGTAAAGTTATGAAGACTAACTTAAGAAAACAAATGTTGCAGGTATAGCTTAGTTCTTTAAGAATGATACTGTTTTCTCATCCATCTGAAGGTTTAAAAAAAAGGATTCAAACAAAACAAGATAATACAAAACACAGTAAGCTCATACTGTCACAGCATGAAAGACTTAAGTCAGATAAAGGTTATTTTGTTTCCCATCAAACAAACCGGAGGAGTTTCCTTCTCCTAAGTCTTTGAAGAAGCAAGATAGCTTATCAATTCTTAGAAAATGATTTCTACATGGTCTTGGCCAAGAGCAGGACCTACCACAACTGCCCAAGGGCATTTTCTGTTCCAGGAGATCCTTAACCTCAGTTGACAAGGAAGAAGTCATCCTACCGAAGTGTGGATGACTGAGAACTTGCAGGGAAGCAAGAGGAAAATGCATGGAAGTATCAATCTATTTTGAGCATCATCTTGAAGGAATGGGAACCACCAACAGAAAAGATTTCTCATTCAGGCTGAAGAGTTTTAAGGGAATTTATGTCACAGTTTTAACCTGCTGCTGTGGAGAACCTGCAGGGGCACTATCTTTCTATGACAGAGACTTTCTTAGTAGCAGGCTGGGAGATGGACTTAACGAGTATTTACCACATACCCATTTACCTCAGAGAAACCAATCAGGAATAGAAATTCAAGGTGCCTTGTGTAGAATTTAAGCTTCTTACTAAAGTGGTTATGAAGACTGCTTCCCTGGTGGCTCACATGGTAAAGAAGCTGCCTGCAATGCAGGAGACCCAGGTTCAATCCCTGGGTTGGAAAGATCCCCTGGAGAAGGAAATGGCAACCCACTCCAGTGTTCTGCCTGGGAAGTCCCAGGAACAGAGGAGCCTAGCGGGCTCTTTGTTTTTGTTTTTTAAGCGGGCTCTTTGTATGGGGTTGCAAAGAGTTGGATGTGACTGGGCAACTAACACTTTCACTTTGATTCACTGAATTGATACTATCGCATATAATTACAATCATGCAAAAAAAAAAAAAAGATAGGCATGGCAGAAAAGACTGGAAGAAATACAAAGGAAATGGTGATACTGATTATGTGAGCATGGTGAGATTCAGAATAATTTTTTTTCTATCAAAATTTCTTTATAAGTATTTATTTACTTAAATGCATCAAAAAGTGAAATCTCAACAACAGTCAGGGCAGTGGGGAGTCTACTCATCTGCTCACAGGATGCATGACAGGTACAATGTCAGTCTTAGAAATGAACAGATCACATTGAGAGAAAGCTGATAGAGCTTTTTCATGAAGATGGAATTAGCATCTATGAAAAAGGAATGAAAACCTGTGAAACTTACCCTTTTTTTGGAAGAGTAAGAAATATATATTGAAGAACATTCCTCCACCAGCAGAGGCCTAAACCCTAGTATTGCAGAGCTCCAAGGGCAGGCTGGGGAGCTAAAGGGAGAGGTGGACTGCTCCATTCTGGCCCCTCTGGGGTCTCCCCAGGTGACCTTCTTTTTAAAAAATCTGTTATCTCCTTAATGGAAAGGCAGGAACCATTCTGAAAGAATAAAACAGCTAATTTGAGAAGAGATTAGAGTGACTGGTAGGAAACGAAGAAAGGGGTAAAAGATTATCTTGTTAGATTGCTTCATGTTTTAAAAAGAAAGTGCAAATAATTTTATTATTACTAAAAGGTGATTAACAGTAATGGAAACTATTGATAATGGAGTAACAATTGTGTCCTCACAGTTAAACAGACTAAAAAATCAACTCAATCTATCTCTGTCCTTGTGGGTTTTAGCAAAGGTATGGCATGCCTTCTCCAGACTGAGAGGCAGTCATTCTCAAGATAAATCCTGGAACTTCTATTGGCCAGAGGATCTCACAGTGGGAAGACAAATGAAGGGGCAGGAAAGAATCTTCCTGAAACTAAGAAATCTAGGAAACAATCTGAAAAGAGTTTTCTGAAAGCAAGTTTTCTGTATATGTGATGGACCTGCTGCTCAGTCAAGAGTTTTGTTTTTTCTTTTTTTCCCTTTTGGCAATGCCACTTGGCTTACAGGGTCTAGTTCCCTGACCAGGGATTGAACCCAGGCCACAGTGGCAAAAGCATCAAGTCCCAACCCCCAGACTGCCAAGGAATTTCTAATTAGAGTCTTAAAAAAAAGAGAGAGAGAAAGAAGTATCCTTTAGCTGCACTTTTGTTGATTAAACACAATTTTCCCAAACCTTCTTGCCCAAAGAGATCTATATTACAGCAACTTATCAGGTACTGAAATATCATCAAGAGTCATTCAGATTGCTTTCTGGTCACCTGAGTTCATTGTGTTGTAGGTTCTAGGCCTTAAAAAAGGTCTACATCTTTTTGGAGCATTCGGCACTAAAGTATATATCTTTTACCCCAGGTTTATAGGTTTCACCTGCATCCCAGGCCATAGTAATAATATTAGTATAGATAAGAGACAGTCTCATACTTCAGAGAATGAGACATGGATCAGGCACACAGTGTCACCCATCATTTATTTTTAGGTGTGACTAGGTAACTACATTATAGGAGCAGGAAAACATGATGCGGATTTAATGTTATCATCAAGTAAAGCGCACAACCAAGTTTAATGATTGTCATAATCCTTATCTTCTTTCAGAGTAACTAATAGTGAATGGCAAGTAACTCACTAATCAGTATCTAATTGATAACTGTTTTTTAGAAACTGTTTTTCTAAGTTGGGGAAATTAAAGGAAGATGACAGTGGCACAGGAAACTGCTTTGTACTTCCTGGGGAAATAGAACCTTAAATTTTAGAAAATAATGTCTCTAGGGGTGGGACTGAGAGCAAGATGTGTGGGACACCAAAGAAGCATTGTTGAGAAGAGTGGAAGTGGATCACAGGTGCTGGGCGGTGAGGGAGGAAGCTGCAGTTGGCTACCTAAAATTATGTAGGACGTCCGTGTGCAGGGGTACGGCTGTAAATTTTACAGTGAGACCACCACCTGTGAGCAAAAAGAAGGCATCTCCGTGGAGCAGAGCTGTGAGACCTGATAGATTTAAATGTCTTTGAGTATCTGAAGTGCCAGGGCTGGTGGGGACCCAGTAGTGAGTGCAGTGAATGATGAACTGCAACAGTTAAATAGTAGCCTGTAAGAAGGTGTACTGCTAATGCTAGGAGGAAAAGAGTGGAGGTGGAAGGATAAACAGGGGAAGTGAGGGAAATTTCATTTAAGGGAGAACTGAGCACATTCAAAGCCAGCAGAGGAAACCCAGGCCTCAAAACCAGAGACATGAGACAGGAGGCTGCAGGCCGAAGAAAGAGTGTGAATGGGTTCGAGTGTGCTCAGGAATGTTTGACTCTCTGCAACACCAGGGACTGTAGTCCCACCAGGCTCCTCTGTCCATAGAATTCTCCAAGCAAGAATACTGGCGTGGCGTGCCCATTTCCTCCTCCAGAGGATCTTCCTGACCCAGGGATCGAACTCAAGTCTCTGCATCTTTTGCATCTCCTGAACTGGAAGGCGGATTCTTTACCATTGCGCCACCTGGGAAGCACCTTTGGAAAGGAGTAGAGTCTTATCTGGAAAGAGAAGCAAAGGAAGAGAGAAAGAGGCGCTGTCTGGAAAGACTTTAAAGTGGGAAAGGGAGTGTGAAGGCAAGCCAGTCAGGCAGAGGTGGGCTCTCTGCTGGCTCCTGCATCTATAAATGGGGGATAAGTCTTCGCCCCAGAGGGTAGCTATGGGATTCGAACAAGACAGCACTGTTAAATCCTTCAGCAGAGTGCCTGGCCTGCCCGCAGAGCCCTCACTAAGCCTGAAGCAAAGAGCGACAGGGAGGCAGGAGAGGCCAGGTGGCTCAGCGGCCGAAGTGAGTGAGGTTCGCAAGTCCAGGTGGAAGAACAGGACAGTGGCTAATGAATGAATTCTCCCTTCTAGCAAGAGACTGGACAGTGATGCAGAGGGGGAAGGAGGTGGCATGCTAAAGTCACTAACTGCCTGACAGTGCCCTGGCACTAGGCCAAAAAAGTGTAATTAAATGTGTCTCGCTGTGCCCAAATTCCTCCCTAGAGAGTGTCCGAAGTTACAAGGGTTTAGAATGGATGAATAAATAAATACCCCCGAAGAAGGGGCGTGGAGAAGACCGTCAGTGTTTAATACTTTAGTGACTGAGCCAACACAGGAGGTTTAGCGAAGGCAGAGCTGTCACTCTGCAGTGAGGGCAGGGCTGCCGCTTCCAGGGAGCCCGGCCGCCAGGTACAGGAGAGGGAAGAGAGGCGGGCAGGGCTTCGGCAAGATGAGAGGGAGGCAGGAAATGGACCAAAGCAAGCAGAGAGGCGGGTGCTGAAACGAGGTCACACAACTGGAGAGCTGGGAGCTCCTTCGGCCACCGGTGGGCGAGGAGTCGGCCAGTAAGCTTCAGGCACTCCTTCATCGCTTCTCTTTGGGTTTCACCTTCTCTCTTCCCCGAATCTCCATAGCATCTCTGTTATCCAGAGAGTCAGAAATGGGAAACTTTTTGACAATAAAGCAAAGGTTGAGGGGACTTTATATATTTCCCTGTTTAACCTTATTTTACAAATGCGGAGACAGAGGCTCAGAGGGAAGGGCCTTGTTCAAGGTCACACGGTGAACCTGGTGCTCGAGCAGGCCTAGAAGAGCACTAGAATCCTGCGCTGTGTTCCCCAGCGCCTGACCATCTGTTTGATGAAACCTACAGCTTGCTGAAGTTCCTGCACAGCCAGAGAACAGAAAGCAAGGCTCCTCCTCTGTGGAAGTTAATGATTAAAACCTAGTCTGATCTAAAGCATCTAACCCTAGTTACTAATTAAGCCAAATTCTGTGAGAAAAGACATTTCAAACAGAAGAGTGCTGTGTTCCCTTCAGTTAAATCTATAGGCCTTCAAATTATAGTAGCATAAACCGCACAGTTACAATGTTTCAAGTATGCTTAAAAATATTTCATAATGCAATACCTTAACCTCCGTAGCTTACATTTTCTCTTCACTGCATGCCACATGCTGGGTCCTGCTAAAACGATTTGTAACTTTTGGAGAAGGAATTTAACTAAAGTGACTTCACTTACAGTGTTTGAGTGAAGTAGGCAATAAAATCTGTTTGCTGTGTTCGATGTCTCCAGATAGGGCTGTAATTACACCACATAAGGAAGAAAGGTGGCTGAGTCTCAACCTAGATCATTTATGTAAACTCAGCCTTCTTGTCAACGGTGTTCTCATATTGCCTGCATCCAAACCGCAAAAATCATCTCCTGTGAACCACATAGAGACAGTGTCCAATTGCAGGCCTGTGAGACTGCTTATATTCTTTCTGTAATTGGAAGTCTGTGGTTCAAGACCAAAATCTGACATTCTGAGGTTAAAAACAAACAAACAAAACTCACCAATGAATTCCCCAGTACAACAACTATATGTCTGACGCTTGTAAAAATTAAGGGTATTCTTTATACCTAAGTATTACAAATGTATACACTTTAAAAAAAAAAGAAAAAAAAAAGGCATCCTGTTCAGCTTAAAAGAAAAAAACAAGTTTGGTTCTTTGAAATGCACTTGAAAAAAAATTTGGTCCAGAAAGAAAAACAGGCAATTTCTACTATAACCAAGTTGACATCTGACAACATTTTAATCTCCTACTTCAAATATTTGGCATTATTTTTTCAACAATTTCCACCCCTCCCCCAAATCTTACAAAAACCAAGAAGCAAAAAGTATAGCCAGACTGTATTGCAAGAAGACAAAGCATGTTTTTTTCTTAATCATTAGACTGGCCTCCATTATGACAAATTGGTCACTGGGTTTTCATTTGACGGTCCTCCCTGGCCAGCACTGACAGCGTTTCTGACACCTGCAGCTCCCAGCTTGCCCTGTCCTCTCTAGAAGGAAAACCACAGGCCACCGCCCTGGCGCCATCCCTGGCTCGGTCCAATCAATAAGGACTTATTTCCTGTCCATTTGCTGAGGTCACAGGAGCGAATCTCATTAATTATTTCTGCTACTGAAGCCTCAAGTGTGCTTCTGGCATGACAACTGAAAACTGCTTGACCTTTTTCTTCTAATTTTGTTTGCAGCAGATCCAAAAAGAAGGCAGTATTCATTTAGCAGTGTGATAAAAAGAAAAAAATGTATGTTGTTGAAGTCATTAACACATTTAGATATTTCATCATGAAATCTCTCCCGATCACCTCCTTCCCCAATTTTTTCAGCCAACGAACAATAGTCTTTTTAATTTGGTGTCAGGAAAATCTCATCACAGCAAACACAATGTTTTCTAAAGCAGTTCTGGCCTCCGAGGGAGGAAAGCTCTCCAGGGCCTCCAGTGCTTTGTTTCCATGGTAACGACACAGGTCAATAGCTGAAGTCACACCTTTGCCAGCTTTGATTGTTTCTCGCAACTGTTAAGAAACAAATGCACAGTAAAAGTCAGTTTTTAAGGTACCACAATTAAACTGGGGAGGGGAGCTGGAAAATGAAGAAGGGGAGAAACAGAACAGATTCACTGTTTCTGCTTTTGAGGTTAAAGAGGACATCATTCCCCAATGATTTGGAGGCACTAACATTGCCTAAGGCTGCTAGGTGTCAGCCCTCCAGAGCAGAACAATAGGCTCCAATCAGCCTAATTACACCTCCTCCCCAACTGCCACCCAGTGATAGCTTGAAGTGAGCCCTACTAGAGGGTGGAGGTGAGGAAGGTGGAAGGGCATTTACATCTCTGGCATGTTGAATTCAGCAGCCTGATATTCTAAGGTGAGGAAGACTTCATTAACATCTTATTAATAACTAATATTTTTACACTGTATGTTGACACAATAGTTCACATGAAAATTCAAGGAAAAAAAAAAAGAAAATTCAAGAAAGACACACAGTAGATCTGAACACTACATTACTAAAGCTGTAAGACTCTGGGACAAATGAATTAAAATGCCTTTTGTAAAGCATAAGGTCAACTCTTGCTCACAAAGGGAGCTGATTTCCAATCCCTCTCCTTGACAATCAGAAAGGACCAATACAATAATTACACTTTATAGCTGAAGAAGAGTTATAATGATTGGCCGGTCCACTTCCCCTTGCCCCATTCCATCTTTTCTTTCTCAGTGAAAACCTCTAATGTCTGCCTCACTCCCTAAACCAGATACTTGGGAGTCCTTCATCCATCCAGGCCCATGGCTCACCCATGGCTGAACTTTTACACACCCCCTGGTTGGGTGAGGCCCGCTGGCAAGTTCTAGTCCATGAGACGTGAATGGTGCATGTCACTTCTGAGCTGTAGCACTTAGTCATCCATGGGAGTCCCGCCAGAGCCTTCCCTCTGGTAACTCAACTGGTCTCATTGGAGAAGTTCCTCAGGTTGGACTGGAGTGACCACAGTGAGCACCACGATCCTCCCCAACCAGAGCAGAACGTCATAAGGGCAAGAAACTTGTCTGCTGTCTGAAGAGACTGTCAAGTTGTCTGTGGCCATCTTGACTGATACACTCACTAAGTCCCAGCCATTCTAGCTCATACAGAGCCGTCATATTATCGTCTACTCTTCACTCTCATTGCCATATTTATTCATATTATCATCCCTTGCCTAGGTTATTTTTGCAATCACCTCCTGAAGAGTCTTCCCACTACCAGCTCTTTCCTCTGGACTCCATCCTTCATGCTGCCAAGGAGCTCTTTATAAAATGCAAATGTGTTCTTGCTTAAAACCATCCACTGCCTTCCAAGAGCTCTAAGAAAAAAAGAACTCCAAGCTCTTTCTCAGCCTGTTTCTTCCCTTTCCCTGTTTCATCATTACTCAGGGAACCTACTTATATCTGATGAGGTCTTCCCTGATAGCTCAGTTGGTAAAGAATCCACCAGCAATGCAGGAGGTCTGGGTTCGATCCCTGGGTTGGGAAGATCCCCTGGAGATGGGAAAGGCTACCCACTCCAGTGTTCTGGTCTGGAGAATTCCATGGACTGTATAGTCCACAGGGTCACAAAGAGTTGGACACGACTGAGCGACTTTCACTCACTTCACTTGTAGGACTGCTGGTGGGTACTACACGAGACAGTACCGAGTGCTTGACAGTGTCTAAAACACTACAGATATTCAGAATGACTTAATTCTTCTTCCTCCTCAAGCCCTTAGCCACTGCCAGGAAAGCTACTCCAGTCACCAAGATGAAGTCTATTTTAGCTTGATGCATAACAACCTCACAGGTAGTTGAACTTGGATTAGACCAGTTTAAAGACTGAAAAAAAAAAAAAGGAAGAGAAAGGACATACCTCTTATTTTCATTAGTAGGTATTAGGGGAACCAGGGTAGGGGGGTGTGCTCTGAAAACCAACCTAAGAACTTTATTTAAAAATTTTTATCATAGACATTTTTTATTTTTCTTTTCTATTTTTTGGCTGTGCTGCAGGGCATGCAGGATCTGTTCCCTAACCAGGGATTGAAGCTGTGCCCCCTGCAGTGGAAGCGTGATATCTTAACCATGGGACGACCGGGGAAGTCCCCTGAACATTTCACAAACACAGAAAGGTTGACAGAATAGCACAGGAGTCGGCAGCCTACAGCCTCAGACCAAAGGCTCAGCTCAGGGCTGACGCTGAAGCTGAAGCTCCACTACTTTGGCCACCTGATGCGAAGAGCTGACTCACTGGAAAGATCCTGATGCTGGGAAGGATTGAGGGCAGGAAGAGAAGGGGATAACAGAGGATGAGACGGTCTGAGTTTGAGCAAGCTCCAGGAGTTGGAGATGGACAGGGAAGCCTGGCATGCTGCAGTCCAGGGGTTGCAAAGAGTTAGACACGACTGAGTGACTGAACTGAGCCTCAGACCAAATGTGGCCTCCCTGTTTTTATAAATTAACTTCTACTGGAATATAACATGCCCATTCATTTAAGTATGGTTGCTTCTGTGCTGTAACAGCAGAGAGGCAGAGCTGAGCAGCACCTAGACTCAACAATCATTAATACTTTGCTATTTTTGCCCTATCTACTTGTATGTGTGTTTTCTGAATCATTTGAAAGTAAGCTGTAAGCAGTGGTAAGCTGCTTAATTACTCTCCAGAGGAGAAAAAAAACCCTACTTGTAGATTTTGTGGTTTGCATACTCCCATCATGGTGGATTTCAAGCTACCAAGGGTTGCACAATAACAGAATTCTTAAATATTTAACAATTGGCTCTGAGTTGGCAGGACATGAGTTGGATGCACCATGAGCTGTAGGATGCTTTATCCTTGTTTTGAGAAGTATCTCCTAAGATAAGAACATTTTCCTACACGGCCAGAACTCTAATATCAGAACTCGGAAAGTTAACAGTAATACTCTCCTATTATGTAATATCTAGTCTACCTGTAAATTTTCCCAACTGGCTCCAAAATTTCTTTTTTAGCCTTTCAACGCCCACCCCCATCTCCGAAACTGTAATAAATCCTGGTTCACACACTGCATTCAGTTGTTATGACACTTTAAACTTCTTCCTCCCCCTACGATATTGCCATTTTGAAAGGACCAAGCTATGTTGTACAGTATTCTACATTCTGCATTTCTCTGATTGGTATGCTTAGTTTGTTAGTCTATAAACTTTATTCAGTCAGACTCCACTGAATATTTGATGCTGACTTATACGGCATTTAATGGGCTTCCCTGGTGGCTCAGATGGTAAAGAATCTGCCTGCAATGCAGGAGACCTGGATTCACTGTCTGGGTTGGGAAGATCCCCTAGAGAAAGAAATGGCAACCCACTGTAGTACTCTTGCCTGGTGAATTCTATGGACAGAGGAGCCTGGTGGGGTATGGTAGTTAATCCTATGTGTGTGCATGCCAAGTTGCTTCAGTCATGTTAGACTCTTTGCAACCCCATGGACTGTAGCCTGCCATGCTTTTCTGTCCATGGGATTCTCCAAGCAAGAATACTTGAGTAGGTTGCCATGCCCTCCTGCATTGGCAGGCGGTTTCTTTACCACTAGCACCACCTGGGAAGCCCATTTAATCCTACAATGAAGGGTAATTCAGATTATGGCAAAACAGCACCCAGGAGGGCTTCACTGGTGGCTCAGTGGTACAGAATCCGCCTGCCAATGCAGGAGATGTGGGTTCAGTCCCTAAGTCAGGAAGATCCCCTGGTGTAGGAAATGACAACCCAATCCAGTATACTTGCCTGTGAAATCTCATGGACAGAGGAGCCTGATGGGCTACAGTCCATAGGGTCGCAAAGAGTCAGACAAAACTGAGCAACTGAACACACACTTACACCCAGGAGGACATCTCTAAAAGTTACTCATGCCCTAAAAAGAGTTAATTTCTCTTTCCCAATGACTATTCTACTTCCAGTTAATACTCCAATCTGCTCTCCACAGAGTTGGCTCAAAAGACTTTGCATACCAAGGACCCAATAGCTTCCATGTGTAAAGTGCCCATTTCAGGACTCACTGGTAATCTAATCCTTCACAGAAGGCATTAATATTATTCTTCATAGGCATCTATATACACTTCCACCAACTAAACATAAACTACTGGTTCAAAGGAAATCCTTCAGATATAATTAATAGGGCATAACTGAGATTCATTTTTACTATAAATTAGAATAGGCCATGAGTTCACCCAGAAAAATACAATATTGGAAAACACAGAAAAGTACAAAAACAGAAAATACAAATATACAAAATACAAATAACACAAAAATAATATACAAAAAGAAATACAAAAATACACAAGACACATTAAGCTGGAGTTCCTAAACCTGGCTGCTCATAAGATTCACCTGGGTAGCTTTAACATACAGATACCTAGACCTCATTCCTGGAGATGGATTCAGTAAGGCCTTAAAAAAATACTTCTCAGGTCACTTCAATGATTAACCAGATTTGGGAGTACCTCACTCACTGGGGCATGTATTTGGAGTGATGATATTTTAAAATTATCATGTTGGATTTATACTGTTTTAACCACACTTGCAAGTGTTGTCTTTGTGATGATCAAATTAAATTCAGCAAGCATTTATTGGGCACCTCTATGCCATAGCTATATAGTAGGGGCTAGAGCTACAGACAGAGAAGGCAATGGCACCCCACTCCAGTACTCTTGCCTGGAAACTCCCATGGAAAGAGGAGCCTGGTAGGCTGCAATCCATGGGGTCACTAAGAGTCGGACACGACTGAGCGACTTCACTTTCACTTTTATTTTTTTTCACTTTTCACTTTCATGCATTGGAGAAGGAAATGGCAACCCACTCCAGTGTTCTTGCCTGGAGAATCCCAGGGATGGGGGAGCCTGGTGGGCTGCCGTCTATGGGGTTGCACAGAGTCGGACACGACTGAAGTGACTTAGCAGCAGCAGCAGCAGAGGTACAGAGACACAGTTGCTGCCTCCCAGGACCACTTGTTAGAGGGCTTGTGATAGGGCTGCAGAACCAGAGAGG